CATTGCACCATGCAGCGCCAAAGTCTTCATCAATCTCATTCAACAGCTGGCTGGCTATATGACAATGCCACGTGTCAGGTTATCCACAAAGGAAGACTCCGTGAGGCGTTTGAAGTGAATACAAAAGTAAAACGAGACTGCTGTCTTTTATCACCGATGATATTCCTAATTAAGGTAGATATGATTATGCGTCAGTCTGGGCACATGGAGTGAGAAGACAGGAATACACCAGAAGACCGATGAGAAGACTGTAGAAGATCTCGAATTTGCAGGTGATTTACAGGTGATAATGTCACATAAAGTCGAAGACTTGCAGACGTAAACCAATAAACTCGCTTAAGAAGCAGTTCAGAGAAGAAAGAACTCCAGATGAACCAAGAGAAGACTGTGGTGATGAAGATAACCAGCCAACCAACAGCATCAACAACTAGCACCAATCACCATCAACGGGGAAGATTTGACAGAGGTTACTTCCTTCACTTGTCCCGCTAGGAAGCATGGATTAAACCACAGGAGGAACGTATGAACATGTCAAGACCAGCCAGAATCAGAAGGGCTAGATACACTATCAACCTGAAACCAGTTTGGAAATCTTCTCCGCTCAGCCAGGATGAACAATAAGATTCGGATTTTCAACACAAATGGATATTCAGTCAGTTTGTTCTTCAATTCGGGTCAGAAACTTGGCATAGCATAAAAAGTATTGCCGAGAGACTACTGCAGGCTTTTATCAACAGCTGCCTTCCCTCCATATTGAGGATCAAATGGCTGGCCAGAAAGAATTAGTAACAAGAAACTCTGGCTGCCAGAAAACGAGCTAAGAGTCGAACGCTCAACAAATCTTCAGGATAAAATAAATATGGATCGAGCATACGTTGGAAAGATCATCGAATAACATCATGAGCCTTGCCATCTCTCAAGTGGAATCTCTATGGAAAACGACGAGTGGGTCGTCGATACGAGGGTGAAATGGAGGAGATCGCTTGGAGAGGAGGAGATGAGAAATTATGGGCATTCGTGGATCCAGATGAAGATGACAGCAGAGAATAGAAGAAAGTGAAGATGTGTTGTTGAAGGCCCATGTTCCATTCGGAACCCAAGGGAATAATAATATCATCACATATAGGAAACTTGTTATGAGCGTTTCTTCAGTGTTCCAGCCAAAAGAAGAAATCAGCCTACATATACCAAGGAGAGATACTGAAACAACCTTTCTGTCTATTCACCTATCTCTCATTGCACTCATGTGAAAACTCCATGGTAAGGACAGTGTAGATTTCCCTCTTTTATTCTACGAGAAAAGTTTATAAAGATACATTAATCACCAGTTGAGGAGATATAACTCACTGATTGCTTCAATATATAATTATTATTTAGTTAAATGAATAATTCATACACTGAACAATAAATATCTCGTATTTATTACATATAAGGAGCAGTAAGAATTATTGTCTTCAAACTAGACGTTTTCTAGCCTCCTCTTTATGACTTATGATTTATTTTCCTTTACAAGCCAGTCCGTTTCTTCTTATCTTGATTCATTAGGCTTACTGTCACATTTTGGTTAAAGGAATGCCTGAATTATTCATTAGATATCTTCATGAATTTTCCCTTCATCCAACCGACAACATCATATTACGATAAGATTTATGTTGCATAAATATTTCACCAGCACTTTGGTTAATTAAGCATCATCGCTGACAACTTTTCTGTAAACTATGAAGTTATGCAAGTTCATCATATGGAGGACAAGATATTACCACAGCATCTCTCAGTAGACGAAGTCAGATATCCCCTTTGAGCGAGGGGCAAGAAGTGCAAAAACGTTCGGTGATGATAACTCTCTGCAGGCTCTTATTCGGCATGATGAGTTCAAGTGGAGTGGGGTTGTTAGCTTCACGCTCAATTTTTGCTCTTTACCGACATTACTATCAGCTAAGAGCAGTTTAAGGGTGCGATGTCGGCCATAGATCAGACCCCGTACAGCATTCGTGACTTGTTGGCATTCTACCGCTGAACCACCGACGCACCAGCAGGAAGCTCCTCCCCTCCGGATCTACTTCCCGTGCTTTTTTGCACTAGTCAGCAAGACTTATCTATAACCTTCAGGGAATTAACGTCCCTTCTGAGAGTTGAGCGTGAATCACTCAGTAATTCAGTCAGAGATGTTATCACTTAGCTATATGAGCTCACCTTTGGGTCAACAGATATGCTAAGTATGGCCATGTTTGTGAATTAATTTAAGGGTGACGGAGGGTGGTCAACGCACCACTGCCTTTGTCTAAAACTGGGTTAGGCCTTCACAGAGTTTGCTTCTCGTCTCCACCACTTTGTCAATACCAGATTATGGAGCCTACAATTTTAGATATGTTAGTCATTGATATAAGAATAGATTTTTAACACTGTGGTGGGTCTAGATAAAGGCGAATCCCTATATGACTACTACAAAGAGATCTGTTTCCTTTCTTATCAACTGGGATGAGCAGAGATTTTAACTATTTTGGATTCTCAAACACTAAATGAATTATTGATTATTCTGACTCGTTATTTATCGACACGATTCTCTGACAATTTCTTGGAGTCGTACCATCAGATCTTGATGCTTTTATTTGTATTCGACTGGTAATAGGGTTTGTAATCTCGATCAGACTTGGGAGACTGATAAATTTTTCTTATACAGACTTAATTTGGCTAGTGAGCACTTTTTGTGCTGCTAAAGGCTAATCTAAGGTTTCGTCGAACTATTCTGTTCAACCCTCCAGCCATTTCCTCTCAGAAATTATTGGAGCTCAACCCTTCCAATGAGAACACTGAATGGTGACCAGAAACTGACGAAAGATGCGAGTCTATATCATTGAATAGCAATATGCTACCCTGATAATCCACGAATCTACAGGCTGAACGCTTGCGTACCAATAGTGGAGAAGTTCTAAGAAACTAGTATGAAGTGCCGATCAGTAACCTTTCTATTATTGACATTTTTACATTTCACACTGGTTTATAACAAGATCTTTGATATGGTTGACTCTTATGGTGAACAGCTTTTCCGTACAGCTCCAGGAAATCCATCCAAAAGCCATCTAACAGCTAGACACTACTATTTAGATTATTGGGTTCGAATCCCGGTGGGTGCGTACTGATGAAGAGTCACAAACTACGACGAAACAGCCGTTCAGTACTCCCAGGTTTTCCAATGGTTCTCTAACTGATGTCAGCTCATGATGAAATCCTGTAACCAATCAAATCCCTACAAACCAACACTTGAAAATTATTGACTTTCGTTGGCATTTGCGTCATTTTCATTTTAGTTGTCATCATAACCTAACATCAGTTAAAGATAAATTCGTGATCCAACTTGAAACCAATCATATTTTTACAAACTCATCCTCAAAATTAAAGAATGATATGTTAAATGCAACAGATTACAACTATATATAATGTCAGATTTGTTACAGGATTTCATCATAAGCTGATGTCGGTTAGAGAACCATTAGAAAACCGGTTGTGAGTACTCTACAGACAGCTATTTCGTCCTAGTTTGTTACTCTTTGTCAGTCCACGCCTGCCGTCAAGGTTCGAACCCTAGACATTATGGTTACAAGGCGAGCTCGTAGACCATTAGACCGCTGATACCACTAGTGGGGTTCAGCAGATCGGGTGTGAGGACAGGTGCTCGCCAACGATGACTTTGGCTTTTGCCTGTCGTGCTATTTCATGAATTGGCAGAAGTTTAAATTTATGAGCTAGGCATTGATAAGGTCCCAGTTTCTAAATGGAGTAGGAGCTCGCGTTGTAAATGAGAGGTCCTGTGTTCGAATCCTGGCGGTGAGTACGTACTACCGCAGGGTTCTAAATTAGGACGAAACAGCTGACTGTCCAGTACGCCCAGCTGATTTTCCAATGGTTCTTTTACCGAATTCAGCTCGTGGTGAAATCCTGGAAGCAAACAAATCAAATCCCTGCTTACCAGCATTTAAATATCAGATTTGTTTACAGATAGTTTTGGAATATACACGTTAGAGCATTAGAATTATTGAAAATGTGGTTGTAGAGAAGAAAGTTTTCTCGATATAGTCATCAACTGGTTAGCTGTACATTCGTGTATATATAGTAAGTGGGCGAGAATGTTTCAGAACCATTGCCGATCGGTCAAGGGTCAAATAAATAAAATTACAAAGCATAATGAACAGGAAAATTGGATAAAAAACACAGTAATGCAGATACGAATTAAAAAGCGTAAACATAATAGAAACAGACAAGATAAGAAAGGTAACAGCAAAATCATTATTGATAGGGCTGTCTTTTTATGATGACAATGGTAGAGAAAGCGGTTGGAAGTACCTCCTCTGAATGCACAGCATGGGCTTGAACGTTTGAATCTCTGGTGCCCCAGTTATTTCCAGCCAGATGCCTTGATCTCAATTGCTTTGAGAAGGTTGATCGGGTCTTCTATGTGACTCTGGAGAATTTTTCAAATACAGCTGTGTGTCCTGAGTTCACCAGATATTCTTTTACAGAACTATATACATACATATATTCCCTCTTTGCTAGTCAACGTGCACAGTTTCTTTGAGCTGAACTTCTTGTCTGTTTTGTTATTAATACACTTTTAATCCTTAGTTGCACAAAACAGTCAATTTTCTCAGTAGTTATGATCCTACAATGCTTTATTTGATCAATTTTATTAATTAGATCCATGTCTGTTTGAAAATTGTTCTGGAACTTTCTCACTGATGTAATATGAGTACACGAATGTACAGCTGAGCTGACGACTTCATCGAAAAGAAAATTTTCTCTGCTGCAACCGTCTTTTTAATATTTCCTACTATCAGCTAACTGTCATATTACGTAATATGCGTTTAAAACATCTTTTTATGACTTATTTTCACTTTATTTGCCTTCTTAATGAAAATTAATGCTAACTCTCTTTCAAAGTTTTTAAATTGCTCCATTTGACTTCGGTCTTCTTTTTTTACTTCTCTTTACAATTTGTTTTACAGATTCAGGTGCCTTGTAGACCAACTTTTCGTGAAGCCTATATCCGTGACTACCGTACAGAGAAGACAGTAAGTGTTGTCTTTTAAACTGCTACTCGAACAGTTTTAGATTTAATTTTGTTTCCCTACATTTTTAGCACAAACAAATAAGTAACCTTTAGATATATACCTGTGGGTATTTCATTTTATTCTTCTATCGCTCTTCTTCTCCATTCGACATTATTGTGTGCAAATTTTTGTTTGTTCTTTTTTGTTTTTGGTTGGCCAGAAACGAGATGAGCTTTGATGCGAGGCTAACATGGAAGGAGATTATTGTGTGAGGAGGAGAGGATAGCCTATGGGCGTTCATGAGGCTAGCAAATAAGAACTACACAGGACAGGAAAAAATAGAGATATGCCGTTGAATCCCTATGTGCCACTCGGAACCTATGGGAGTAGAAATAATTATATAATTACATAATATCCTACGTAATTGTCTCTTTTCATGCTATTCAATAGGCAGTAGAAAATAATTTAATTATAACGTCTCGTTATCGGCTTACCCACCATGGATGAAAAATTTATGTCGCTGTTATCAAATCATTGAAAACATTTTTCTGAATAAACCGTATTCCAAAGATTTCTGTCGAAAGAAATGAACTGAACTATGTGCTTTGTATGTGCGTCAAAAGTTCAAGAGTCAAATGCTCGCCAACTGTGTGGCGTGCGCTCCAGGTTCTGATATCCAGCGGATGCGCTTCTAGGCCCGGCCTGCCGTACCAGCCAACAGTGGTTTAGGAAAAGACAAAAGAAGAGGCCTGGGGCTAGTTAGCAATTCCACCCTGTAAGAAAAAATATAGCCCCTACGGAAACTTAAATGCTTAAAGCCATTTTTTGAAAATTCCTTAACGTTCCCCAAGTGAAACATAAGACTTCGAGCTAGAGGTTTGAAGTTTCGATAGCAGTGGTGTTCACTTTTACGGAATGGGGTTGCTAGCCCCATGCCCAACCTTCCCTCTTTACCAGTCTTATTACTGGCTTAGTGAGGTAAAAGAGGAGTGCAGCGTTGGCCGGGTATCGAACCCCGAACTATATGCATGGTTGGCAAGCATTCCAGAAAAGGAATTAATTAAAAATTTGGTTTTTAATTAAACAAAAGTTTTGTGATTAAGAATGTTCCGTCTTAATGGTAAATCATGACCGTCCACTTCTTATAATTTATTATGCCCCTTGATTTAACTAAATATATTTTACTGAGTAAGTCAGTTTTTCCAATCACATTTTTCCTTATTTACTACTAAAGTAATGTTTCCTCTCTGTGTATACAGCGTAAAACTGCATCCTTTCGGTAAGATTTAATATTTATCAAAACATTTTTAAACACATAATTTTGGTTCCTGTACATATACAGCTAGGGCTTCGGTTATGTTTAAGTGGAAAAAACGTAAGCTTTTTCAATGATTAGATTTGGTCCTGTAAGTAACTGTGAAGAATGAATCACGTGGGGCTAAATGATTTGACTCCAGAAGGTGTTAACAAATTGACGACTTCGTCGTTGTATGCTCACCTTTCATTAAACAAACCCTGTAATGTTTAGCTACATGAGAACATTTACAGGGCAGTGCACTAACTTCAACAGTTGGGTACCTCTAGACAGGAAGAGAAATTTTATCCGTTCTCTGTGCTTCTGAATTCGGAGAATTTGTACAACTCTATTAAATAATGGATATCCTAGAAGGTTTACGACGGAATCATCAAGAAAGAAACCGTAAGCATTCAAATCACAGTTCCAAAGAAGACACTGTTTATGAGTTTGGCGTTCATAAGTGACAGTAATGCTGAATTTATTAAAATTCGTTTTTCTAAATGTATTAAACGCTGCTTTTTATGCGGTTGGCTTACATTTAGTATTTGCCAGCCGAAATATGATTCGATAATGTGTTAAGGATAAACTGCTGCTTGCGTCTATCTCTGTGTGCATATACTTTTTCACTTGCTCATGTGGGGCTAACTACCTTGGACGTTACAAGCATGTACTCCATAAACACGTAGCTGAACACTGCCATGGGATTTGGTTAATGAAAGTTGAGCATAGAACGACGAAATCTTCAATTTGTGGACACCTTCTGGAGTCAGGTCATTCATCCCCACGAGATGAAACACTACCTGCATTCCATGAATTCATTTAATTAACTAACATAATATGCAAATATCCGTAACTTCACAGAGACTAATTATCACCGAAAATTGTCCTTACAACCAATGTATTCCACTTTAGAAGGTATAAACGCTGAAAACCTAGTGTTCCATTGATTCTGAAGACGAGACTGCTTCACTACAAAATATAATCTTCAAACCAGATAAACAGAACAGTTTCAATAAGTGTAAAGATAAATCATTTGTTTAATTACAATTGTGGAGGAGTGGGTAAATCAAATATATCCATGCTAAACTTTGATAATCGCTGATTCACTTCATCTAACCAAAGCATTTGACAGAATTTCAAGAAGAGTCAACATTTCAATTAAGATATTGTAAAAGTTATTTCGTTTGAGAGGGTGTGGGGTTGAGTATCGGCGAAAACCAGAATATCTACATTGTCTGACTTGGTGAAATCATCAGCTGATTGCTACTGAAATCCAGTGAGTAGTGATAATTTTTCACTCAGACTCTAAGCCAGTAATCATCAATTCAAAGAATATAATGTCTCCCGTTCACATTGCTTTAATTGATTAAAATATAACCTCCTGATGGTATTATTTACTCCCCCCCCCCGCGAGTAATTAAAGTGTCTACCATCTGCCGATTGATCAGTTTCGACGAAACTTGAGAAAATGGATAATCGTGAGCAGGAGCAATGTATCTCGATACATGAGAAAACTTGCAGTTAGTAGTGTTCTCTGAGCTGTTTGGTTTAGTTGCGGAGTTTTCGTCGTCCTTCTGGCCAACATCTTCAGCGCAATTTTTAGCATATCGTCCATATCACTAATAATAGCTGAAGCCGTGATGTGAAGATTAGAATTAATACCTGTACGTATAATTAAACCAAAGGTCTAGGTATGTTACATTGATGATACATTTGTAATAATTAAAAGAAATGATTTAGAATATACTCATAAATTAACAAACAACATATCTGAAGACATCAAATTCACAAGAGAAGAAGAGTTAGGTAAAAAATCCCATTTTTAGATGTCTTAATCAGGAGAACTAACACAGGAGATTTAGAAATACAAGTATATAGCAACAACCCAATTACTCACAAAAATCTGTGTGCACACATTGTTTCAAAGAGTTCAAACACACACACTGTAGCACTCCAGCGTTGAAGAGAATGGAAGAAAAATACCCACTTACTATCTTCAAAAAGAACTGATTTCCTCACAATTTCATCACAAAGTATTTCAAATCCAGTCACAACACCAACAAGAAACCATCGTCAAAAAACACAAGAAAATTCATCCTACCATGTGTAAAAAATATCTCTGAAATAACAGCTAGAATATTGAAACCGTTTGAAATATATATATAGCACACACGCCAGTCAAATCAGTTAATTTGATATTGTGCAAACCGAAGGATCCAATAGAAAAAGGACATAAAATTAATACCATTTACAAAATAAACTGTATGAACTATAACAAACATTACATCGGACAAGGTGGGCGTCCCCTTCGAATTAGAATCCAGGAACACAAATCAGCTGTGAAAAGACATGATATATATTCTTTCATATCAATTCGTATAGATAATTATGGACATCAGTTTGATTGGGATAATGCCAAAATCTTAGACAGAGGAAACACCAAAAGTGCAGCCAGGGAATTCCTAGAAGCCTGGTACTCAAACGAAAATGCAGTTAACAAACATGTTAATACAGACGAAATATACCAACGAATAAAAAGTAAATCATGTGACGAGAAAGTTTAAAATCCAACTCAATAGAAAATAATCAATACATATGTAAAGATGTTTGCCGGGAGACACAATTCTACCACTCATGGAAAATTTAAATCTTTTCACTTTATGCTAAAAATTGCGTTGAAGATGTTGTCCAGAAGGACGACGAAAGCTCCACAATTAAACCAACCAGCTCAGAGAACACTATTAATTGCAAATCATCCACCTGCACTACAAATCTTCTCTATAATTTCAACATGAGATAACGGTTCATTTAGTTATGTCATTCACACTCGAAATCTACCCTTGAACATTTACAGTTGGCATTCAACCAAATGCTTTGCATTTCTCGAGGGAGAGACAAACGGACGAAGAAGAAATGTCATAAGAGATTGGTATAGGCTTCACGTCAGGCAGAAGATCCTGTGCAAAGTGAAAATATTATCATTCAATAAATTCCAATTAAACTCCTGTTCTTATGTAAACACTGTCCTGAATAAACTGTTAATATTATTATTAAATTATTAGTAAAATACTGAGCTACAGAAGCTAATGTATGTCCAAAACGGTATTATTTTCTGAACAGATTATCACTTGACAAGCGCATATTTTTCAACCGAAAGAATCCCATATATTTATTTAATTATTTATTTATTAAGCGGCTCATTTTACTTTTAAAACATTGAATGAGTTGTGTTTTTTGTTTGTTGTTTTACTGTATTCCCTGAATGAATTATTCACGTTTCAATGCTAACCTACTTTTTAAACATAAAATAACAAACAGACGAAAAAACAAACAAAGAGAATAATCATAATAATAAAAAGGCCAAGAAGCAAAAAGAGAAAACAACTACCTGCATCGAATTTTTATCCTCTTATCTTCATTCCATTGCCTTTTTATTGCCTTTTTTCTTATTGTTTTCTTTTTTTGTACTGAGTTACAATGTTACATGATCAATTAAATGTAGCACGTAATTTTAGGTCAATTCGTGTACGGAGAAAAAAACACCCAGTAAGAAGATGAATAAAATGTCATGATAAAATTAATGATTCCTTATTTTTTTTCTGCTTGACCTGTATTTAAATGTTCGACTATATTATTGTTTATAGTAAGTAGTATAATCGTATCATAGGATAATTTTTTTATTTCGATGCAGTTGTATTCTGTGAGCTGAATGGTTTACTCGCAAAGCTGTCATTGCCTCAAAGAAGACGGAGAAAGCGTCCTGCTTGACTAATATAATCTTTTTCACAGCCAATGCAATTTATTTTGTAGATGGTGTTGGTTTAATCTTGTTTCGTTGTTGATTCTAAGATGTCATTTATATATGGTAGGGCGATTTTCCTTGTGCTTTCCTTGAGGGCCTTCGATTTAGTTGGTTGACTTGGGAGTATTTCTTTTGGTGAAGTTAAATGGATATCCTTTCTTTTGGAAGACATTCATAAGATAGCTTTCTTCAATTTTCCTTAAGGTAGGAGTACTGCAATGAGTCCTGACTCACTTGAATAATGTTTGCATGCAACTGTTTTTGCGTTTTACTAAATTTTTGCTATTGTAATTGAGTATTTGATCTGTGTGAGTTGATTTTCTATAAACTTGACTTTCTAATTTTTTTTGTGGTATGGAATTTCGTCCTCAGATCTCTTTTCTGTTGTAACTATGAGGAGGTAAAATCAGCCAATCACGTTCAAGGTGTAACCAGGAGAGATGACTAATAAACCGGTGGGGAAATTAAAAACTTACTTCAAATTGAAGTATGCGCTGGAGATATTTCCTAGTAAGGCATTTCAAGCTTCTCAAGTAAACCATTCAGCTCAGAGAACACAACTACATCAAAATCATCCAGCTGAACTACAAATCTTCTGCGTTATATCTAAATAACTATCATTTAAGAAAAAAACAATACAGTGATACAGTATTATTATTATTATTTAGGAGGTTAGACACTGTTGACTTTTACGCGTGTTACAGGGCACGCCGACGCAAGTTCTTGTCCTACAACTTTGATAGTACTTGTTCTGCGCAGATTAAAAACAAGTCTAAACACCAAATTTATCGTCAAAAATTGTAGTTCGATGTTGAATGCTTAGCTAGCTAGAAATAGTGCACGAATGAACGAACGAACGTAACACGACAGCTTGCTGAATGGCATGAATGCTTGACGGCGAGCATTCAGCCTAACCAGTTGACTTAAACAATGAAGGTCAGCATCCAGTGCTTGATGATTAGTGCTGTAGGTTAATAATTTTGAGAAATTATTGACCGGTACAGCCTACAGATTCCTGCAAGTGGGGTTGTTAGTAACATTTTCCATTTCTCTGGAATCAGCTGTGTTGATTCATTCCTATCACACGGGTCAGGTGTACATTAAATGAACAAAGATTCAGGAAATAAAATCTCCTTTCATATGTCTATATTTAAATTTTAGAACTGTCCGATTCCGTTCTGTGGTTCTCTATTTGAATGCATGCATTTCATTTGCTGAATTCCCCTTGTAAACTGTCCATCTTTATGAGGTCAGTCATTCTGCACTTGGTTAAGTTCTTATGTAGGGACAATCTGACTGACTCCGATTTATTGGTTTGACGTGGTCAGTTAACTAATCGAGTCTTTGAGACTTTTGATTATGTCCCCCGACAAGTTTTTTTAAGGTTTATCCACCATCTGAATTTCTTTTTTATTAAGAGCTTTACGTAGGGTCTACACAAAATACTTGAATCAAGTATGGCAGACCAATAATATCAGGGACATGGAAAATATCACTACCAATAGATTTAAAGGAAAAATAAATAGTGGGATTAGTGTAAACGAGTTCCTTGAGATGATGGGCAGTAATAAATTGTGCTTGAACCATCATCCAGTTGTTATTAATACGGTATCACCATGTGCTTTATGCCAAATAAATTCACTCTATGAAGGAATTATATTCCTTCACAATGTTCAAGTTCTATTCTTATATCAACATATATTGTATTATTTGATGCAGATTTTTGAAGTTCTCGGTACTCCGTATGAAGTGTACTTTACTTTGACTGGATCCAAGGTAGTAACTAATATTTGTGCATCTAGTCCTTGGTGCTTTTGCCGACTGAACTCCATCAGCTAATTTTGTAATATATCCAGCATGTTATGCGCCTCGCCATCACATTGTACCAGTACCAGGGACTAAATGTACGATGACATTAATTACTATCTGGTTATCAATCATAAGGTTAACTGAGAGCCCGAACAGCCCCTCAGAGGTAACGTCTCCAACTTCAGTAATTGGTGAACCGCGTCTGAATCTCAGAGGGAGGTATGAATTCCTTCGAGATTGCAGATACGCCGTTCTGACGAGGGCCAACAAGCACGAAACTTAAGTCTAACAGGGATTCCTGATGATTGTCTCCAGCCATCTTATTCAAGGAAACGTAATTTTTTTGACAGCTGAAGCTTGCGTCAGCCAATTAAAGAGACAGATAATAAAACCTCTGAGCTTATACATCCATACATATTCATTTCTGTTTTCCATAGAGAGGAAGGCCATAGATAAAATTAATATTCCCCTACTTATAGCTATATGACTATACTAAATGTAGGATAAATAGTCTTCTTATTCATAAAATGGATTATTATTGAAGGTGCAAAGAAAATCTGAGTTACAGCAATGTATTATTATCACTCTGATGGTCTACCAGCTGAGCTGGGACCGTCTAAATACCAACCAAATAATTCACCACAGGCAATTCTCCACTGTCAAGTGAAACACCCCTATCGTGACCCAAAGTTTTCGTGCGACTTTGCTAAACAACAGTTTTCCAAGTCATAAATTGTCCTAGATTGTTTCACTACTAATATATCTGTATATTTGTTTTTTCTTATTTTTGTGTCTATTCCTCTTTTCACTAGGTGTCAACAGTAAGACATTCAGTTGACTTTTATTCATAATAAATAAAATAAATATATTTTCAGGTTTTTACGAGTTGATCAGGGATTGATATCAGTTAGAGAACCGTTGAAAACCAGGGACTACTGGATAGCTGCTTCATCGTAGTTTAAGAACCTTAGGCGGTAAGCAACCACTGCCAGGGTTCGACCTCAGGACCATTCAGCCACTGGGACCCGATTCAATGTCCAACCCATGAAGTATGACTTCTACCAATTCGTGATGCGATTAGTTTGACCACCAACCAATGTCATCGGTGGGACATCCATACTCACACTTGACTGGATGGACCTCACCGGTCACGACTCCTCACTAGATTTTCAGGAAACTCCATCCTGTAACCGGAAGGTCCTGAGTTCGAACCCTGACTCGGCGGTGGGTGCGTACTGCCGATGATTCCCAAAAACTCGAATGAATCAGCTATCCACTACTGCAGTGCTGATTTTCAATGGTTCTCTAACTGATATCAATCCGTGGTCAAACTCGTAAAAACAAAACTAATCCTTCCAAACCAACTATAGAAAATATTTTCAGGTGTTGATTTTGAAAAAGGTTTGATTGGTTACTGGTTTGATCCCGAATTCGTGGGAGTTAGAATTTATGGGCCATTCAATCAAGCTTCTATTGACTGAATGGTATATGAGATCACCTTGTAACCGGAAAGTCTTTGGTTCCTCAGTCGATGTTATTCAGCTCGTATTTAAACTTATAAATACACATGTATAATGTTTATCTTATCCTTAAATTTCGATTGCATTATTCATTGAAAAATGTATTCAACTTATATTTAACTACTGACAATAATGTGAATATTCAGTATTGATGGAGAGATAATTAGTTTGCTGGGGAATCTATTAACCTTCGAAATGATAAGAAATAAGAACCTTATTAAATCAAATTTGCAAATTAATCAACAATTTGTAATCTATACAATTCGTGGAGATGAAATTTCACTGGCATAGATTTCTTTGGAAAACAAAATTATCCAGATCACCATTTATTGTGATCTGTTTGATACAGTAAATGGTTATCTAGAAAACAAGCATCACAAATGCGTAGAACTATATATATTACTGATTGATTTAGATAAGTAGTTCTCTACCACTCATATCAATCGGTAGGGATTGTTTGACAGCCAGACTGAAGTAATCTACACATGGGAGACAGCCGTCTCTCTTGTTTGCATCCAAGCTTATCATCAGTGTACCCTAGTTTTGTTTAAGGTCATAGATCCGTCCACGCAGCTCATAAGCTTAGCTCCAGACGATTAAAACAAAACAAAGCCCTTCGGTGTTTTGACCGATTCAGTCTGGCTGGTTAGCAAGCACTGGTGGTTAATAGGAGTAGTGTACAAATGCCCATCTTAATCAATCATTGTCATATTGTTCTGCGCATCGGTTGTTTTCAAAATTATTTTGGTTGCTGCTCTTCATGTTTTCCAATTAATGAAATGCGATATTTATGGCCCTTTACCGTTTATTAGTATGAAAAAAGCATTAAACAACACCTTCTTAGCAAACTGAATCCTGTTAACCAGTATTCTGTAAGTGTAGTTTGTGTAACGTTCACAAATATGAAGGTTATTCTTTACCTTGTGCGTCGGTGGCTTAGAGGTAGAATTCTCGCCAGCTAGTCAGGTGGTCCGAGGTTCGATTCCCGGCCGACGCATGCGAAGGAGGAAGGTTGAGCGTGAGACTAAAAATCCCGCCGCATAAATTTAAAACCACTGCTAATGAAACTTTAAAGCCCTAGCTTGAAGCCCTATGTTCCACTGGAAAATAGAAAAACAAAATTCTTTACTTTAAATACATTTCAAACTGAATACTTTTATTGTAATCGTATGAACTCAGGTAAATTTTCAATACAGAAACTTGACAGAAATGAAACACAATTCAAGTGAATACACACATACTGCATAAAATCGATGCACACACGCAGTAAGAGAGAAATAACGCGACGATACAACAATAAATGGAAATGTAAGGTAGAAAGAATCTTTAGAATGTTATACACGTGTAAAAGGTCACAAAAAGTGATTACATTGGCGTCTCCAAATAGTCTCGTAGATGCCAGACAGATAGTCTGTTTCCCCTGAGGTTACTTTAAAAACCAGCAGTTTGAAACATGAGAAATTCATGTCGTGTTTTGATTTGACCACACCTAATGCAATGTTAATAAAACAGGATTTAATAAATTCATCAAATTTAGGCAGACATATTCAGCTCTTCAGTGATATATATATGTGTATACTATTAAAAATCCATTGAGAGATAGAATATGACTGATAATTAAATAAAATACGTTGAATTAATCTTGCAAAATGGCAGCTGTGAATGTTTTATGAGTCTGGTTCAGAAGGATAAAGTGGTAAGTGGCGTATTATTATTATTACTATTTCCTTGGGTTCCATGTGAAACATTGGATTTCAACAGCACTCCTCCACTTTGTCCTGTTCTCTGCAGTCCTTTTTGCCTTACACCATGATTGCTGATAGTATGTTATCTCCTCCTCCTCCTCCTCGAAAGATTTTTGTCATGTCACCCTCGAAGCGACGCCAGACTCGTCGTTTCTCATTCGGGTTCCATACAAGCGCTGGCCTGGCGTGAGGTTTCACTAGTCAGTCACCTCAGCGTGTCTTTCATCCATCTCCATTTTCTTCAGATTATTTTTTGAGCAAACAATTCTTGGTTGGTTCGTTCTCAGAGTATTTTGTTGCTAATTCTCCCTGGACACTTATTTGACCTTCAACATTGAGTGAAGGTGGCTGTCGAAAAATGTCTGTAGTAGTCTCTGCCGAATGCTTTTCATGATGAGTGAGCCAAGTTTTTGACCCACGCAGAAGAACTGACTTCCTTGAAATCAGTTTTGAAAATCCGAATCTTGTTCTTCATGCTGAGTTAGTGCAGAAGATTTCCAAACTGATTTAAGGGTGATGAATGTACTTCTTGTGTTCCCTATTTTGGCTGATTCTGACATTCTCATTCATGACGGTTGCTTGTAGTTGATATTGATGCTTGCTAGACAGATGAAGGAAGTAACCTCTTTCAAATTTATCCCGATGATAGTGACCACTGAGTGTTGCTGTTGTCTGGTAGGTTACTTTCATCACCTACATTTTCTGTATATCCTCTTGAAGTCTTGTGTTTTGTCTGCCATTCCCTTCTGCCAGTTTGTTGGCTTTCGCCTGTAGGTCTTCAAATATATGTGGAGTATGAGAGAATAAAATTCAGATAATATGGAAATATGGCTCAGTTGCTGTACCACTTAAATACACAGTTCGTTATCACAGAAGGAAATCGAAGATGTCAGGAATTGCAAACAGAATAGTAATAATAATAATGAAACGAGTTAAGTTGATAGGTACTCACAAACATCCGCTGTGAATGAGTAAGAATAAAAATAATATTCAAAAATCCGATAAAATATTGATAAAAACAATTACAGTTAATAAGTAAGAGATATTATTATGGTAGGTTCAAAATGACCATCATTTCCTTCTATACACAAAGATTGAATTTGTAAACTCTAATTCCATAGGACCCCGCAACAGCAAGCATCCTTTTACTTGTGTTTCCTCTTACAATAGTGAACAACTTGACAGAGTGTCAGTATCATGTCCATAGTCTACAAGATGTTTGGCAATTGAATATTTCAGTACCTTGTCTTTAGCTTTTACCAGTAATCACTTGGGCAAATACTACATCGTATGAGTAGACGATAGATAGCCTTTCATTTAACCTGTGTGTCAATATTCATGGTGTATTTTCTTTGCTAAGGAACCATTTTGAATTGCTAAATAGTATCAATACAACAAATCACCTATTTTAGGTGTATGCACATCTATTTTTCCACTTGATGTTTGTACAACACATTTCTACTGTTTATTAGGCTTTACAGTGCCAAAAACTAACTCAGCCATGAATTTTAGTTATCCTGTCAAAAACAATTGGAAAATAGATCGAAATATTTAAAAAATTAACACGAATTGCTAAAAGTTAGAAATTAATGGGATATTGAATTGGATGCAAGCGGCTGAAAATTCAACGAGATTGCCTTGTAACCAAAAGGTATTAGGTTCGAACCGTAGTGGTGGATGTATGCTGCCAGTGAGTCCCAAACTAGAAGAAAACAGTTGACTCTCCAGTAATCCCTGTTGGTTTTCAATGGTTCTCTAACTGATATCTGACCTGAACCTTAGACCAATCCATTATGATATCTCCTCTTTTTCTCCTTCGTGAAATAAACGATATTTTGTTGAAAGCCAATTATAAAATGTTGAGGAGTACATTCTGTGAACCAAGGACACCTGTCAGGAACGGTCATCTCATGTAATGAGATAAGGCGCCATCGAGCTGGATAGTGCTTTTTCACATGTTCAGTAGAAACTTGCGAATGAGCATGTTGTAAACGTTTTAAATAATCGTCAGAGAAGACATTACTATTGCAGGTCATACTTCACTAGATTTAAACAAAATGAGTCAGACAAATTATATGCAATACATTGATAGAAGTTTTCGCCAGCCAAACTTTTAAGCAGACCACCGAACATCACATGTAATGATGAATTTGTTGGAGTGTAATGAACAGGATTGTATAAATATGATAACGAGTTTGAAAAGCATTAGCTAAACACAAGTTAATAGAAATAATAATATAGTAACCTCATGAGGTCGTAAAAGGTGTGAAATAAACCTTTTTCATGGAAAAAAGAATGGATTGGTAATTGTACACCCTGAAGAAGAATTTGTTGAAAACAGTTGTTCACTCTGATTACTTTTTTCAAGATCGGCCGTGGATTGATAACAGTAACAGAACCACTGAAAACCAGAGAGTATTAGAAAACCTTTAAGGATTCATTGGTAGCAAACACTCACCACCGGGGTTCGAATACTTCTGGTTACAAGGCGAGCTCGTAGACCAATCAGTTACTGGGATCCAATTCGTGACTTTAACGCGACTATGAGTCAACGTAGTCGAGAAGTATTTATTGAACTTCAGACACTGACAGTGGGTGTCTACTATCGATGAGTCGCCAACTAGGACGGAACAGCTGTCTAGCCAGTACTCTCTGCAAGTATTCAGTGGTTCTTTAACTGACTTAAAATTGTCGAGCTTGAAAAAGACTTTGCTGAAAACAATGAGTGTTCACTCCAGTTTATTTTTGTCCTGAGCAAAAGTTAAGGAAACATTGGGCATATTTGTTTCTGTTTGAAGATAATTTATGATTCACCATCTACAGTATGGCGTTATGCAGTGAATTTCTATTTTTTAAATAACTCAATCAATTAGGAAGATCGAATAAGTATTGCAGTCAATGTCTCCAACTTGTTTTTTAGAAAAATCTATTTTTAATCCGCCTATTTCCATCCATTCTTCCTTCCTTGCCTTCTTGGTTTGTTTCTGTCTTTCTGTTTTTCGTATAGAATACAAAACATCATTGGATTAAACGTAAACGTCAAGATAATAAATGTAAACATTGTGGTAAAGTAAGTCATAATCTTTTTTCAACCTGTTCTATGTCTAATTTATACAATTTTTTTTTAAAATTCCCAGGAAGATAATTTTAGAACACCGTTTATTAAAGTAAACCAAGCCAATCATGTAATTTCGGTACATTCTCATCACGTCTTACAATTACATAAGGAAAAAACATATATATCTGTCAAAGACATTTGAACGCAATGTGTTGATCAATAGCGATCAACGATGTCAGCGCATAATGAAATTCTCCAATCAACTAACAAAAAATCAATACTTGAAAAAATCGATCTGATGCTCACTAGCGACTGGTCCTATTCAGGTAGGTAGTTCCCTGTTGTTCTAGAGGGAAGCCGTGACCAGTAGGATGCAACAGGTTGAAGGTGAGGCAGTAACTCATCGCAGAGGAAGACATTACGAAGTAGCCGCGCTATGTCATGAACTGGCAGAAGTTAGAGTTCATGGACTGGCTGGCAATTGGATTGGGTCCCAGTGACTGAATAGTCTACGAGCGAGCTCGCCTTGTAACTAAAAGGTCATGGGTTCGAACCCCAGTGGGTGCGTGCTGTTGGTAAAGAGTCCCAAACTAGGACGATAGGAACTACTGTTCAGTACTCCATGCTGGTTTTCCAATGGTTCTTTAACTGATGTCAGCTAATGATGAAATCCTCCTAAGAATCAAATGCAATCAAAGAGGATGTAAGCAGAATATTGATTAATTGTGAAACTAAGACCAAAAGTATGCAACTGTAACACAGTATGATATTGATAATAAAGTTTGCATTACAAATGAAAATAATATTCATATTCATAATAATATTCATAATATTCATCCCGACCGAAAGCTGCTACCTTGACGTGGTGGTCGGGCTTGAACACTGCAATGACCCAACAAGCTATACTGGCTGGAACTTATGTTCCTGCAGGTCCTACCATGCCAGAAAGGTTGTTTGGATAGCAGTTAGACTAAAAGCAGTTACCCAATCCAATCCTATGATTTCAAATAAATCACAAAATTTCATGCCGGATCGGCCGGGGCCCGGATTAACAACGACCGCGCTTTCTGCTGCCGTGTCACAGGGCAGAAGTGATAAGTACGCTACTGAGACACACCAAATAAAAAAGAACAAACAAAAACAGGCCGTGTGTGACCGGCCTCAAGCAGTTGTCCCCTGGGCTCTGCGGTCACGCAACCGACTTCCACGGTGTGGGCAAACGGGAAGTAACAATCGCCCTCACAATCTGAAGTGCACGCGAAACCCCTCTAATCCTCGCTCATCTTTGTCTTCATCTTCATCTCTATTATCTTGCCTTCCTTCTACCAATGCAACTCCTCTACTTGATGGCTCTTCACTTCCCCTTCACTCTGTGTGCACTGATAACGATGGAAGCCAAAAAGCCACCACCGATTGTCTCCTAAAACCACGCCACCAATTTTATATAGGAGCATTTAATGTTAGGACACTCTGCCAAATAGGACAACAAGCATCTCTAGCCAAGACTCTGGCATCCCGAGCCATTGATGTATGTTGTGTTTCAGAAACACGCATGCAAGACCCAAGTGTGGTTATTCACCTAACCCCACCTGGCCAACAGGATGAATCTGCAAAATTCACCTTGAGGGTGTCAGGAGATGCGACGGCTAGCTCACGAGGATTAGCTGGTGTTGGGATAGCTTTAAGTACTAGAGCAGAAAAGACATTACTTGACTGGATCCCGGTAGATAGCCGAATGTGCGCTGTCCGCCTGAACGGATCAGTGAAAAGGAGAAAGGACTGCACTACTCGCCGATGCCTTTTCGTAATCTCCGCCTACGCCCCCACTGACTGCAGTTCGGATGAAACGAAGGATGAGTTCTACCGAAAGCTGTCTAGCTTGCTGCGAAAGGCTAGACGCTCAGATATAGTCGTTTTAGCTGGTGACTTTAATGCTCAAGTAGGGAAATTGTGTCAATCTGAGAAGAATGTTGGTGGCACATACGGAATTCCGTGCCAGCGAACCGACAACGGTGACCGTCTCCTACAGTTCTGTTCAGATAATCATTTGTATCTTGTAAGCACTAACTTCAAACACAAGGAGAGACACTGTCTGACCTGGCGACCCCCATCATCAAATCAACGCTGGACACAAATAGACCACATAGCAATAAGCTATCGTTGGCGTGGGTCGGTAGGAGATTGTCGCTCCCTCTGGAACACGTGTGTAGATACCGATCACGCACTGGTCCGCGCTCGTGTGTGCTTACGACTGAACGGACGTAGGAAACAGCGAGCGGTAAACCCATCACTTCCCCAGCTCGACCAGGGAACTAAGTCCCTATTTGAGGAAGAACTAGCTAAACACATATCTGAGTTTGACAGCTGCGCTCACCCTGAAGAAGCCTGGAAGAATATTCAGTCAGCCATAGATAAAGCTGTAAAAGCTGTGAATAAGGTAATTCCAAAGGTGAGTAAAAACCACTGGATTTCGACTGCCTCATCCGAACTGATAGATGCTAGAAGACTTATTCCGGCGAGCTCCGAATTCAATGAGGAGCGAAAGCTGCACAAAATGAAACTTACGAAAAGTCTCCGCAAGGACAGTGAACAGTGGTGGTTGACTAAGGCGAAAGAGATGGAAAAAGCATCGGCGATAGGCAACACCAGACAACTATTCAGGCTTATCAGGGAAACAGGTGCTAAAAAACAAATGATAAGCGAAACAATCTCCGAGAAAAATGGCACCATAATTAGCTCCCAGGATAGACGTCTGGAGCGCTGGAAAGAACACTATGAGGAGCAGTTTAATTGGCCCACAGCCACACTTAACCTACCGGACATCCAACACCTCCCTGAATGGGAGATAGACACAGGTCCTCCGTCCTTAACCGAGGTTACTAAAGCTGTCACCAATCTGAAGCTAGGCAAAGCAGCGGGACCTGATTTATTGACTCCAGAGGTATTTAAGTACGGAGGCGACAGTTTACTGTCTGCGTTAACGGAGGTTCTAGGCAGCGTCTGGGAATCAGAGGAAGTCCCATCGGGTTGGTGTAAGTCACTGATCATCCCGATATACAAGAAGGGGGACAAGTCGTCTTGTGATAATCACAGAGGGATTAGCTTGACTAATATAGTATCTCAAATCCTAGGCTCAATAATACTGCGTAGATTAAGTGGTGCTCGGGAGACACAAACACGAGAAAACCAGGCAGGTTTTAGGCCAGGTAGAGGGTGTATTGATCACATCTTCACCCTTCGACAGATTCTAGAACATAGGCATTCCTACCGGCGTCCGACAATCATTATATTTCTTGACCTAAAGGCGGCATTCAAATCTGTCGACCGGGAGGTTCTCTGGCGATGCTTGGCTGTAAAGGGAATGCCAAGAAAATACATTGCACTGATTAAGGCACTCTACTCGTACTCATGCAGCCAGGTGAGGGCTTATGGCGAGTTGTCATCTGAAGTGGTGACGACTAGTGGCGTCCGTCAAGGATGCCCATTATCCCCATTCCTATTCAATTTCATCATAGATGTACTAATGGACTTAACCCTAACTCACTTCAGCGACTCAGGGATTGACTTGCTACCAGGGAATAATCTCGTTGACTTAGAATATGCGGACGATATAGTCCTTCTAGGCGAGGACTCTGACAAAATGCAGAGTCTACTGAACACCCTAAGCAACAATCTCCGCATGTTTGGCATGCGATTCGCCCCTATAAAATGTAAGATGATGCTGCAGGATTGGACTTCACCGACCCCCAGATTAGAAATAGGAAGTGAAGTGGTAGAACACGTTGACCGCTTCACTTACTTGGGAAGTACCATCAGCCCCAACGGGTTGATCTCCGACGAAATTTCAGCACGAATACAGAGGGCTAGGTTCGCATTCGCCAGTTTTCGCCGTCTCTGGCGTAGACGTGATATCCGACTATCGACCAAAGGGCGTGTGTACTGCTCAACAGTCCGCTCCGTCCTCCTTTATGGCTGTGAGACCTGGCCATTGAGAGCAGAAGACATGAAAAGATTAGCTGTCTTCGATCATAGGTGTCTGCGTTCTATCTCCCGCGTGAAGTGGTATAATAAGGTGAGCAATATTGAGGTTAGGCGTCGAGTGCTAGGTAAGGCGGGGAAATCAATCGACGAGACTGTGAAATTACTTCGACTGAGATGGTTGGGACATGTGCTACGTATGCCTAGTCATCGCCTTCCTCGACGGGCAATGTTAGCTGATATAGGGTCAGGCTGGAAAAGAGCTAGCGGCGGTCAAACGAAAACATGGCACCAATCAATGAAATCCACAACAGTTAATCTAAGCCACGTAGGAAGATGTAGACTTCCTGGTTGGGGCCCTCGGGATGGTAAAAACCAATGGTTAGAAACAATTGGTGACATGGCTCAAAATCGTTCTCAGTGGCGCAGATGCATCCACTCCTTGTGACTTATGATTTCCAATGAAACTGTTTTGTTCTTCGTTATTACTATTCCTTTGTCTCACACCTCTGTTTACTGTCTATATTATGCATTTCTACTTTCTTCTCTTGCTTTGTGTGCTGAGTGAAGTGTGGCGACTTGAACTGCCGCACATATGTGCAAAGTTCTATGTCGAAAACCGACCGACCGACCGACCGAATATTCACAGTTATCCGGTGTCACAGGGAATAATATCTACTCTAGCTTGGGGTTATTGGCGATGAGAGGTAGAGGGATTGAAAACCTTTTGAACACAAAGACTGGGCGGAATAAGGCGACGGTGGGCTTTCCAAGCTGTTTTACCTATGTAACTGTCTCCGCAATCACAGTTTAATCTATATATGCATGTATGCATTCCGAAATGGCCAGACTCGGTGGCTTATCCTTACACCGGCGTTGGAATTATACGATATAAGTGGTGAAATGTTTTAGCTATTATTTTTCAGAGTTTCGATGCCAGTAATTCAGTGTCTAAGTCTCCTTTAAGCGGTTAAGTCATATATATTCACATACGTTTCTTCTGCACCGTTTGCAAGCATTTCTCTCTCTGTCTGTTTTCATTACGGAGACTTCAACACATCTTTTCTGGGTATCCGTTCTCATACAATACTTTCTTCTAATTTCTTTATATCGTTGTCAACACTACCAGTTGTAGAGATTTTTCTAGCAAGAAACATCAGCTCCCTGAAGAGACTTGACTTGTATGCAAAAGGAATAAACGACCTAAAATAAGGTGTATTAGTCAATCCATAATTTTTGACTGTAGTAACCCTGCTTAATGCCAATATCTTGCCTTTTTGTTAGAAGGACATCAAGAAATGACATAATACTGTCCCTTTTCTGTTTCGTTTGTCAGCTCATTTTGTGGATGAGTCATATTGAACGTTTTAAGAAAGATCTCGGTATCATCAGTGTATCTACCTTACTAAGATTATTTGAAAAGATGTAGTTCTATTGAATAACTTGAATCTATTGAAAAATACTGGTTAAAAACTCACGAGTAAGCAGATTCTTATATGAGGACTGTTGACGAGTTTTACACTTGAACGCAGCAGGTCTTTCTCAATCTTTCACTAATACCACTTTAGTGAAGAAAAGTTTTCAAGAGTTAGTTTCCAAGGATTCGATTTCATTCAGATTAGATCTTGGATTGATGTCAGTTAGAAAAAAACATTAAAAACCGCAGGGGTACCCGACAAGTGTTTCTCTCTAGTTTGGTACTTTTGAGCAACACGCATGCACAACCACAGAAAGGAGTTGAAATGAAGTCGCTTGAATGTGAGATGCCATGACTAGCATTATCCACCAAGCTGGATATGAGAACAAATACATTCCGATGACATTGACTGACGGTCGCTCGAATATGATGAAAGGACATGAGTTAGAATTCATGGACCATTGGATTCCAGCCCAATTAGCTGAAAGGTTAACGATCTTGGCTTGACAACCTGAAGTCCTTGAGTTCTATTCCTGATGGTATCTCCAAGGCGTACTGCTGAAAAGTCTCAAAATGGGACGAAACAGCTATCAAGCAGTCTTTACCGCTTTTCAATGAAAGAAATGGAATCCCTACAAATGAATTCTTGAAAATGAATCTAATGCTCAATAAAAACTGGTTCCAGGAGCAACTTGCGTTGAATTCTGCTGGGAAGAATAGTGACCTACATCATATAAGTACATTTATATGTCTTTCATTGGTAAGATTATCTATAATATCTAATTTGTGAAAGAATAAATGTTAACAAGCAGAATAAAACATAAAAATAAGATTATGTTTCTCTGTCACCTGATATGTGTATCTTTTTCTTCTTCTTCTTGACTTTCATTTTATCTTCATGTTTTTCTCTCTTGAATTTATTTTTAGTCTATGCAATCAATATTGGGATTTTCTTCAAAAGTAAGTAATACTAGAAGCAGTAGTAGCCTTATACTTTTTTAACGTTTTCCTTGTTCGTTTGTTTGCTTCTTTGTTTTTTTTCTTCTGCATTTTTAATGACATTTTTTTGAATCGATGTACATATGAAGCGTCTGAGAAGTACTCATTACCACAGACATAGTCATATAAATAATATATATGTATATTTATGGTTTTATGTGTATACGGCGTCAGTGGCACAGTGGTAGAATGCTCGCCAACCATGCATGTGGTCCAAGTTTCTATCCCCAGCCGTCGCCGCACTCCTCTTTTACCTCACAAAGCCAATAGTAAGACTGGTAAGGAGGGAAGGTTGGGAATGAGGCCAGCAGCAAGCCCATCCCGTAAAAATGAATAAACGCCACTGCTACCGAAACTTCAAGCCTCTAGCTTGAAGCTCCCCCTATGTTCCACTGGGGGAACGTAAAGCAATAAAAAAACAAAATTTGTATATACTTGAAAAGACACGGAAGTTCTTGTGTTCGCCATGCTATCGATTAGATGCGATTTATTACTTATTAACGAGATATTTATGAGACAAATATATAAGTAGTATGAATAAAACTATGCCAAGCTAGAGGTGTCTAACAGTTGACTTGCACGCAGTTGTACATGCACCTAACTGTAATTATATATTTGTATCTTGAAGTAACTGTTGTATCTGTTTGCACTTCACCGATGCTTTTAAGTTTCCACAGCGACAGAGTTAATTTCCAGGGGTCGCTAGTCCCACCAATGCCCAATCTTACTTATTTTTCCAAACTTAGAACCAGTCAGTAAACTAGTGAACTAGTAAATTAGATGAGGTCAACAGGTTGAAGGCGTTTATCAACAGTTATTTTGGCTTCATACTCATCAGTTAGATGACCGGTTAGAAAGACTGAGCAACAAGATACTCTGGAGGGCGTCGAACCAATCAAGAGTCTGGCACCTAACACAAATGAAGGTGCACTGGGCACACACTGAGGAAACCGTTGAGTGAATCATCCTGTTCAAAGCTTTCGAATGGTAGCCGGATGGGCATCCGAGTGTGACATGGAAGGGATGAGCGATTATGTACAATCATGCAAAAGCCTGAGCACAACTGCTGAGTACAGGATTTAAGAGAAATTTGATACTGCATCCTTGTGTTCCACTTCGAAACCGAAGGGAACAGTAATATAATGACACATTGTACGTGTTGTTTGTTGAAAGGAGGACGATTATTTACAACCTAGATTTCAGTCACACGAAGAAACAGTTGATATAAGGGGAGATCATGGAGTGAAGGACCAGTGACCAGTGAGGTTCATCCAGTTAAGTGTGAGGATGGATGTCCCAGCGATGACATTGGTTGGTGGTCGCGCTACAAATCACGAGTTGGCAGAAGTTAGACTTCATGAGTTGGATATTGAATCGGGTCCCAGTGGCTGAATCGTATACGAGCCAGCTTGCCTTGTAAGTGGAAGGTCCTGGGTTCGAACCCTGGCTGTGGGTGCATACTGCCAATGATTCCCAAACTAGGATGAAACAGCTGACTGTCCAGTATTCCTTGCTTGTTTTCAATGGTTCTCTAATTGATATCGACCCATGGTCAAACTCATAAAAACAAACCTAATCCTTAGAAACCAAGTCTTGAAAATGAAAATAATGACTCGTCAGGAATTGTCATCATATACAAGTTATCGTATAACAATAAAAAGAATCTAACACTCCAAGATTATAATGCAAACGAGATCTGCAATAATCTGTACCACTATAGCTGATTCTTAGACATTATCACTCGGTTATTTATTTAGAATATCTACTTGTTTTCTTATGTATCATGGTAGAAGGCTCTGGTTTAAAATGACCCATAATATGTCTGCGTTTGACTTTTCATTACTTGAAGCTATACCTTTGAAGAAATGATATCTGAATGTATTAAAGCACTAATTTTTTCATTATCCTGGGTTCCAAGTGGAACGCAAAGCTTCAACAGCAACACATTTATATTTCACCATGTTCTCTAGAGTCGTCTTTCAATGCCTTCTCACACGATATCTTCTATGTCACTTTCGGACCACCAACTCGGATTCAACTTGAGTTCCTTGTACCCGATGTCGCTCAACGTTGTCCTCAGCATGTATTCAAACCATCTTTATTTCCTTCGGCATATCTGTTGGTTGACGGGTTCTTGGTTTTTGTTCATTACCTACAAGAGTCCCTTGTTACTAATCCTTTCTGGCCATCTGACCTTACATTGAAACGCACAAAAGTTTTAATCTGGAATTTTGCCTTTACTGTCACTTGAAGAAATCGGCACTTCACACACTAGATTAAAATATTACAATCAATCTTCCTAATTCACAGTGGAAAATATTTCAACTGTGATTATCTTCCATGGTCTGTGCATAAACAGATGCTGACAATAGTTAATCGAATGATATACTGAATTTTTATTGTCAGAAAATATCTCTCTGTAGCTTGTAGTAAATGACTTACTTTTACTTTTGTTAAGAGGTCAATATTTCAATACAGCAAAACATGTAACTTATTTTCAATGTCAGATGTTTCTGGTAATTGTTAACTCTCTAAATAAATAAAACAAATACATACACACATCTCTACTATATCTTTAACTTTAGTGATAGAAGAGTCCTGCTGAATCTAAATTTCATGCCTGTTGCCATTCATAAACGACCTCACCTAGCTGAATGTAAATATAGGATCTGGGGCATTGTGGTAGAATGCGATTCCGTACTAGATAAGTTTACTTCAAATATTATACAGTAGTGAGTGATGCAGTATCAATAACTGGATGAGGTCTTGAGCACAAATTTTTGTTCATAATCATATCACTTAGGTTACACTGCTTGGCAATTTGTCTGACATATATTTATCTCCAACTTCCGTTTGTTGTTTGTCACCACTTTCCATATTTCCAATACAGATGTTGCGTATACTATTGCACGTGTAAGGTGTTGAATCGATAAACAAGGCTTCAGTGATTAACCTCTCTATCTCCCAACCTAACTTTACTACTTTTTAATACTTTCACCTTGTCCCACTCTATTTTGGGATTACATGCAAGTGAATGCATTGCAACGGCTAAGCTATTTCCTAGGTTATTTAGCCCCGCAGAGACAATCATTCTGGGTCTGGTTAAAATTTTTTAATTTCAATAATGTAGCTGACTCCGAACTACAAGTTTGAACTATGTAACTGTCCTCACAGTCATTACAAGGTACTTTGTAAATTACACTATTTTGCTTATATTGAATCTGTTGGGTCCTTAAGCTGAGAAAATTTATCTCTGCGTGAGTTGCTTGGTTCGTTTAAATGCCACCCTAATTCCAGTCTCATTGAGAATTCTATATAAGGCCTATGACGTTCCTTCTTCATACGACAGTAGTACAGAGGCTTTGAATTCCATATTATTTTCGTCATTTTTTATAGTTCATCTTATTTTTCCTATGGCTCTTTATACATTTCTGAATAAATTCTTGTAGGTAGTAGTTATTCACTAGTAATACTTCCTTTGTTTGTTTAATTTCATTATTTGAATCTTCTAACTTACTAGTTAGGCTCCTCACCCTATTATATAGACATTTAACAAAACCTATCTTTCCCGATTCTGGGTGAGTCTAAGCATTTATTAGAGTGTGTGTCGGTCTCCTATTAATGCCAGTGCCTAATGTAGTAGTCACTTCTAGGCTTTGAAAAAAAGAGAAGGTTAGGCATGCAGCTAGTGAACCCCCTTGTTAAAAAAAAATCTCACTGCTACTAAGACTTTAAAGTACAGGAAAAATCAATTTCAGTTTTTATATAGGCAATTTTTCAGCAGACACTGTAAAGCAAAAGGACCTCAGTAAATTACTCAAAGTGGTGTTTAAAAAAGACCATCATGGACTATATTAGCTAATGTGTTAGACAATACGTGAAGATATGAGATAGCCTTATTCGACTGGAGAAAAAATCATCATTATTCGTGTTTATAGATGAGAAAAATAAATCTTTGTGTGATAATCGAAGGCGGATCAGTTGAAACAATGTAGTATTTTAAATTCTAGTCTTCGTAATTGTGCGTGGACTAAGTTGGAAGGGGGAATAAACAAACCTGTAAAAATCTTAGTGAGGTTCAAAAATCGGTTTGTTGACCGCATCTCTACTTTCTTACAGATTCTGGAGACATAAGAATTCTCCCTGGTGTTCAAAACTTGTCATACCTGTTGACCTTCAGGCTGAATTCGACTCCTTTAGCAATGTTTGTCCGTACAAGAGAGACCGAGATAATATATCAAAGTAATCAAGGCAAACTATTCGAACTGAAACAGCCGCGTAATAATATTATTAATAATTATTTCCTTTAATTCTAAAACAGTACCTATAATACAACAGTGGATTTCTCAGCGTTCACTACAACATTGCAATTAATTCACTCAACAACAAACAAAAGCAAAAAACAAAATATTTTAAAGGGTATTAGTAACCGAAATTGATAATAGCAACTTTTTGGCATCAGAAGTAACAAAACTATCAAAACTGTACAAAAAGTATAAAATGTGAGTGGAAAGAGAACAAACATTGGTGTAGAATAACATGGATCCATTCCACTCATTTGGTTCTCATCAGCCGCCTACAAGATCAAGAAGAATTATCTCTTATGGACGTCAAACGTAGAAAAATGCGGGGCGGGGGACTGAAACGTTAAGTTAATGAAGTTAGAAGATCAAGAGTTATTATGGGATAAGTCACCAGGGTATTTGAAGCCCAACTACAGATAACTTCTGGACACATAGATCAGGTTTTAGCCATTTTATTGTGATAGCCTCAGAAAATAAAGGAAGACTTGAACCTTATGATATTAGATAATCACCCGTATCATTTGACAAACTTCTCTCTAACAAGATATATGCATATATGTATATTTACATTGTAACACTCTAGCTACTTTGTCATCCCGATGTTTTATCTCACTGTGACACTCTTACACTATGCATGTTGATTAAAAAGTTATATCG